ATAATATTGTTCTACATACCTTTCTCTGACTTGAAGACTACAAATTTAATTTACTGTATAGACCTGACTAGACTCGAAAGCTAAGCATTTATTCACACACACTCACCCCATAAATTCTAAAAATAACTAAAATCCCCACTTCCCACATGACACCAGAATACTGCCAAAGTACTTTCCATTATCTCCAACTTATCAGGTGATTTGATCTCCAGCTCAATCCTCTGTGGTAGTATTTCTCAAACTGCTGAAAAGGAACCCTGAAACACTCAATTTTTGTTTGTTTCTTGATGAATCTTACATTATTTTTAACAAGCAATAAGAATAATAATTTTAGATAATTTTACAAGTATTCTGCCAAGGTTTCCTTTTAACTGAAGGGTTCTATCACTGTGGAAAAGTTCAAGCACCAATGCTCTCTGGAAAGTCATGAACAGGAATCAGGATGAAGTATAGCTGGGCTACAATCTGGACCAATGGAGAGTATCCATCTTTAATAACATCATGGATCCATTAAAGTAAGAGTTATATCCTGCAAGAAATGCCTTCCTGAGCGTTACAGATCAGGGCTGTAACCTGCTTTGTGTCGATCCCTTCTCAGAATTATTTTTAAATACATCAAATAAAATATATAAGATTACAAAGGAAATCAGTTATAGTGAAATACTGCTATCAAAATATTGGAAAAAAAAAGAATTCACCAAATCTAGGCTAAGAACTCCTTTTCTAGATAGTGGCAAGGCATGTGATATTTTTTATAAAACCAAATTAAGGTGGATCACAGACCTGGTTCATTACACTGCTTTTTTGGCCAAAAGTACCAATGTCAATAATACCAATATCAAACAGAAATAAAAAAACTTAGTTGTCAATTTTGCTTTTTAATAATAATAATTGCAAATATTTATATACTTCTCCAAGGGTTTACAAAGCACTTTTCAAATATCGAATTTGATCCTCACAACAACCCAGTGAGGTAGATAGGTGCTATTATTATTCCCATTTTACAGATGAGGAAACTGAGGCTGGGGAGTTAAGTGATTTGCCTAGGGTCATACAGCTAGTAAATGTCAAGATTTGAACTTCAGTAAGCTGACTTTTCAATGGTTCCTATAAAGTTTGGTAGGGTATTAAGTTAAAAAACTGCTGGCCATATTTAGATTTCCTGTATCCCCAATTTGTGCTGTCTCTATTATACCCATGGAAATCCTACAATCTTAGACTTTTGCTTCATTAATAGTTAAAATACACTCCTTTGAAATCTGTGAAAAGAAAAGCATAGTTTCTAACAGAATACTAGTGAAAAGCTACACGAATCACAGAACACATTGGTGACAATCACATTTTCTACTTCATCTGTGTGGGTACTGTTTTCCCAAAGAGCCTGAACTCCTCAAAGACAAGGACCTCAATACACTGCTTTTACGTCACCCAGCAGCTACTACTATAATAGTCACTTGATAAATAACAACTAAATTTAATTAAAATAACTGAACTCTGAGAACCTAGCAAAGGATATAGGCATAAAATAGTCAAGCTTTCAACATTATGATTGACATTTGTGGCGAGGGGGGGGAAAGGGGGCCCCCGGAGAGGCAAACAGACATTCTAAAGATTCAAATTTGCATAAAATTAAAAGAGTAGCTTTTGTCGGTTTTTTTTCCTGCTATACCAGTCCAAGTTATGTAAGAGAAAACTTTGCCATTTACATAAAAGTTTACAGAGTGAATGGGGGGGCAGGGAGGAGAGAAGCGCTGAAATCAAGAGAACTGGGTTCAATTTGACCTCTCAGCCTCAGGGTCTTTATAAGATGGGATACTTGCACTACACTTTTTATGAAGAAAGTGCCTGTTAAGACTTTAAAGCCCTATACAAATGTGAGTTATGCCATTTATCATCATCCTAAATAAAAATGTAATTTACATACTTATGTTTTGTTTTTTTAAAACAAATTATAAACAGAAAATATAAGTCTTAAATCAATTCAAGATATTTATGTGCAGAAATTTTCTTTCAGGTTAAAAATGATGACTCTAAATTGAACACTAGCTATTTAAGAGCTATTTGTGCCATATACCTGACCACTTCTGTAAGTTTTCAGAAACCAAAACAGATGGCTGAAGTTAAGAGACTTGTATAAAGTCATACTGCAAGTTATTAATAAAGCTAGTATGTGAACTGATCTTTTCTTATTTCTCCAAATGCATTAATTTACTTACCAAGTAATACTACACCAATAACTCACAATTTATTTAGTTTGCATTTAAATACTTTCATCAATACAAGCCTGGCTCCAAACAAAATTCCATGAAGTTTAGAAGATATAGTCAAATAATCCCAATCTACTTTATGATTCTAATAGCAAACATAAAGTTTTAATGTTTCTTCTAGCTCAAAGGGTTTCCCCCTATCATTTTAACAGATGAGGAAACTGAAGCCTACAGTGGTTAAATGACTTGGACAAGGTCACCCAGAAAAGCTAAATCTAATTTATTGGCCAATAAAGTACTGTTATTTACCACTACAATCTTATCCAGGTCTTCCAATTCATAGGATCCTTACATCTTTATGTGTTGCAGGAACTTGTAATTAGAAGACCTGGATTTTTCATACTCAAGCTATATGACCTTGGGCAATTGGTAACAGAGCTTGAGTTTTCTCATTCATAAAACAAGGTAATACTTGCATGACCTCCCTCACAGAATTGTGTAAAAGCTTGTATCTGAAAATACTTTGTAAACCTCCAAGTGCTGTATAATTCTAAACCATTACTATTTATTCCCCCACATTACAGTTTGTTTCAAAATAGGGAAATTTAAAAAAATAATTAAAAGTGTTCTTAAAATCTATTATGTAGCTACTTTTATTCTGAAAAGAAGCAGATTTGTAAAAGATTATAGAACTCATCCAATCCAACCTTCTCAATATATTTAGATGACCTACAGTATCTACCTAAAAGCAGGTTCTACTTAATATTTCCTTGTGCTCAAAGTCATCTTAGTACTCAATTGGTCCTATGCTAGTCACAGTTAATACATACATACATACATATATATATATATATACACATATATATATATATACACACACACACACATATATGTGTATATATATATATTATATATATATACAGTCTGATACATCTTCTACAACGATAGCCCTTCAAATCACATTAGACTGAGATTCATTCAACAAATATTTACATTGTCTTACCCAGCTCCTACAGGGATGTCTTTCTTACACAGGTTAAACATCTCTGAGTTCCTTCAACCTTTTCTGACAACATGGTTTCAAACCCCCTTATCATCAAAGTCACTTTCCTCCTATTCTCTTGCAGCTTCTAATATCCCTCTCAAAAACATGCTTAACTTGAAAATAAAATAACCACCTCTATGAAGTTCTCTAACTTCTGCACGATCCACTCCATTTAAAAAATTTCCAACCATCATTTCTTTACACTGTAGAAAAAAAGTGAAAGAAATGAAAATAATTTTAAAGGTTCCTATTTATAAATTAAAATCAAAAAGTATATATAGCTGAAAGAACAGTAACTGGAGTCAGAGGACTTGGATTCAAATCCCACTTGTTAAAATTTACTCCTTCTGTGACCTTGGCTAAATCACTAAACTTCAATTTGTTTTTCTGCAAAAAGAGAAGATTGGACTAGATGACCTCTAAAGTCCGTTCCAGCTCTAGGAATATGATCCATTTTTATGGAGATGCCAATCTTAGGCTCTTCTTAACACAGCAACGTACAAGGACACACATACGCGCTGGAAAGCTTTTCTTTAGTCCCACCAAAAAAGAACTACATTTCCCATGATGCATTAGAATTTAAATGCTTTCCGGTGGGCCGGGCCTCCAATTTATGTGATGTCACAGCTCCTTCAAAATGGCTCTGATCTTTGGAATGGTTAAAATTTTGCACATAATGTCTTTCCCCTTGTATCGAGTGTTCTTGGAGTTCTTTCCTGTTATAATACGCAACTTTAACAACCCCTCTGCCCGAGGAGGTGTAAGCCTTCATCCCGAAAGAGGCACAAAAAGATCACCAAGCTTTACGGGCTACCTTTGAACTAAGAAGCTAAAATGCTGGGGACGGGCGGAGAATGTGACAAGTGTCTCCTCTTTCTGAGACTCCCCCTCCCCCTCCTCCAGCATCAAAGGAAAAATTAATGGGGGGGGCGAGAGTCAGAGATTTCTCTTCTACATTTAACTCTGCCAAGAGACCTTCATTTTAAGGTCTCCAGAGAAAATGGACAGCCCAGTTGCCCCCACTCTTTGGGGAGCAAGGGGATCGAGAAGGGGTACCTGATCCTTGCTTCCACCTATGACACACACGCACACACACCTATCATACATACGCACACCCTATAAGCATATCACACACACACCTCACATACATCCATCACACACGTACACATAACATAGGTACATTCATCACACACACACACACACACACACACACACACACGCACACTTAACCCAAACCATCACGCATACATATACACACACAGACGCGCGCACATCCCTCCGTTCCACACCACCTGTTCCAAAACCTCCCAGGGCAGGGCAGGCTAAGGCTGGGGGATGAGGGGGGGAGGGCCGGACATAAGTTCCGCACCATCCCCCTAAAGTGAGAGGGGCAAAGATTGAGGCCCCGCCCGGAGTTGGGGTTTCAGTTTCACAACATGACGCTGCAAACCAGAGGCCTAAAAGGAATCAGGGCGGCGGCAGCTGCAGTAGCAGCTTCGGCTTCTCCTCCCCCGCCCGGGCCCCGCTGCATCCATCCACCCACCCCCGCCCTGAAAACCAAAATACGTCCCCCTCGCGCCCCCCTCCCTCGCCCCGGACTGCCCAAGGACACCGCAGCCCTGGGGGCCCGGCCGAGCACACCCCGCCGGGCCGGGCTCCGCGCTCCTGGCAGCCGCGGAGGCAGCAGCCGCCGCCCCGAGAGCAGAGGAGGAGGGGGAGCCGTTGGTCAGTCCGCCAGGGTCACTTACTGAGCTCGTCCTGAGAGGCGGAGGCGGCCGCAGCCATGTTGCACCCGGGGAAGGGAGGGAGCGAGCGGAGCCGAGGGAGGGGGCGGGGCGGAGAGGAGGGCGAGGCGGGGGCGGGCCGGGGGAGGCCGGAGTGGGGAAGGGGCGCTACGGGCCGAGGCCTGGCCGAGGCCCAGGCCGCCCCGCTCTCGTTCCCGCTCAGGCTCCTCCTCTGGCCGGGCGGGCCGCGACCTCTCCCCGGCTTCCCTTCAGGCCTTTCTCTCTCCCCGCTGGCGGCGAAATTCCGGGAGGGAGAGAGGCCGCTCTACTCCGACCGTTTCTGCGCGGATCCTGCGGCCCGGCTGCAGCCTCTCGGCCCTCTCCTGATCGCCCGCGGTCTCTCTGTCCCTCTGGGTCTGTCTGTGTCCCCCCTCCCTCTATCTGTCTCTCCCTATCTCTCTGTCTCTCGCTCCCTAGTCCTCCGTCTCTGTCTCGCGCCCTCTCCAGCTCTCCCCCGGCTTTCCGAAAGCCCGGCCGGGATGGGCGGCGAGGCGGCGCTGCCGGAGCCTCCTCCTCCTCCCCCCCGGGCCCGCGCCCCCCACACCGCGGCTGCGTCTCCCCGCTTCGCCCGCTCGGCTCCCTTTAGTTTTATATTTAGAAAAAGCTGAGCCATCCTCCCCTCTCCCTCCCCCCGCTCCCTCACACGCGCGCGCGCTCCCTCCCCGCTCCTCCCTCCTTCCTCCCTCGCTCCCCTTTCTCTCCCCAGCCTCGGCCGCCCCGCGTCCCCCCCCCTCCACAGTTGGGAAATTAACTAATCCTAGAGCTCCCCGCACTGTGGGAGATCGGAAGCAGGCGCGATGCCCCCGAGGGCTCCCAGACCCTCTCCGCCGGTGCGTGGGGCTCCCTTCCCAGCCTCTCGGCGGCCTCTGACTACTGGGGGGGCGCTCCTGGGCCCCCTTCCATCCCCCAGCCCCCCCATCCGAGTGCAAAAGGGCTCGATGGACGACTGACCTGAGTCCACGGTGACCTCCATGGCCAGAGATGGTGCACTTCTCTTGGTGGAGGAGGAGGAAATATGAGTAACCCGCAAGCGAGAAAGGGAGAGAGAAAAAAATTGTGAGTTTCTCCCCCTATCTGTGGAAGGAGCTTGTAGCAGCCTGAAGAATTCTTCCCTATCTCCATGCGGCGCCAGCGGCTTATCCGATTTTGCAACATATATGTTGTAAGCATTGAATTTCTTCAATCACAAGTGGGAAGCTTCATCCTCAGAGCCGTGTGGCGTTGGTTCAGAACCTCGGCACGCTTGTTTAAAGGGAGAGAAACTCCTAGTCATAAAATTCCTGCAGAGCTTGGTGCGAGGCTCTGCCTGGCTCCTCCCTGCCAACTTTCAGGCTCCGACTTGATTTGGACAGTGCTGTCTGCAGGAACGAAAAAGCACCTGCGCCATGATGCTTCTGGCCCCAAGATGCAGAATCCAGAGGTTAATGGATTTTGGTTCTTGACTTAGAAAAAATGAAAATGTTCGAGGGGAAAGGGAAAGGCCCTGGACCTGTGATTTCGTTGATAAAGGGAACTATTCCATAGCCAGCAAACTTCTATGGGTTCAGGGCAACAACACCTCCCCTGTGATTGATTCATAGTCTTGAAAAGTAGTCTAGAACCCTGAGGTGCTGTGTGAATTGACTTCAGGATCATACAGCCAAAATGTTCAAGAGGCAAGATTTGAACTTGGGTTTTCCTAAGCAGGCTCCAAGGCCAGATCTCTGCACATTTTGCCATGCTATCTCTCAGAAAGGAAAACTAGAATTGGAATATACTTAATACTATTTTTATTTTACTCTTCAAACAAGAACAGGAAACAAATAGCATATTAAATCCCCTTAGGACACTCAGCCAAACTGGACTACCTGAATAAGTCTTGGTCTCAGATTTCTTCACCTGTAAAATGAAGGGTTGGACAAGATGACCTGAAAGGTGCCTTTCAGCTCTAAACCTATGATTCTGTGACTACTCACCCTTCTTGTTCTTTATAGTGTGCCCTGGTCTACTTACCCCACCACCACCTATACCTACAAATGACCTCTCCACACACATTTCCTCCCAGTTCCTCACCTTCTGCCTTCTTCCTCTAAAGGGGTCATAGAGTTTAGAAATCGAAGGGTCCTCAGAGAATCATCTTCTAGCCCATCCCCTCATTTACCTGATGAGGAAACTGGGGGATAAAAAGGTGAAGTGAGTTGTCCAAGATCATATAGGTAGTAAGTAGTAGAACTTGAATTCAAATCCATTGCACTGTATGACTTATCATAGCTAAATTTAGACTGTAGTTATCTGTATACCTGGCTTATTCCTCCAACAAAGTCCTAAATTCCGCAGGGACAGGAACTATGTCATGCTTCATCTTTCCATCCCTCATAATTAGCACAATGCTTTGCACGTGTTAATACTTTTTGTTGAATTTCATTGAATTATTAAAATTTTCCTATTAGCTATAAAGAATTTTTGGTAATTTTAGTAATGAGGTGGGGTTTTTTTGCATGTGTGATTTTTATTCTTCTACCTTCGGTTTACCTATATGTTAAGCAGTAGGATACCACATTTTACATGACCTTACTATCAAAAATTAAATTATGTGACATAGGGTATCAGGTACTCTTTCATGGAACATGGGAAAACATAAAATTCCTTAAAACAGGAATCCTTAAAGCTTGAGTTAATGTTGTGAGAATGAATAAAGTCAGTCAACTGCATTACAATCATCAGGTGAAAGATGTAAGCACTCTACAAAGTTTTATGAAAGAGCAAGGACATCATAATAAAGACAGGATCATGCTTCAACAGATGATGCTGTAGAGCTAGGGCTGGAAAGGATCTCAGAAGCCATCCGGTCCAGCTTCTTTGTTTGACAGATAAGGAAAGTGAGCCCCAAGATGTTAAGTGACTTGGTCGAGGTCCAACAGGCAATTATTATTATTATGATTCTTTGAAACCATTAGAAGTTGTTGGCTGTTTTCCATACTATCTCACATTGTTGGGATATTTGTTTCTTCCCTAAAAACTATCTTTGCTTAGTCTGTACCCTTCTATAGTAACTTTTCATCACATATATAACTCACTGCCCACCAACCTCATGTATCCAGATCACAAGAAGGAAGAAAATAAATAGGCCTCTGAATAGCCAAAATATATTTCATATTTGAAGCTGAAGCACTTTACTAATGGGAAAGGCCTTCATTCCCAGTCTATTTACTCTTATTTTATATGCCATTCTAACAAGCTTTGTTGTCTGGTTTCTAAACATTAGAAGCAGTCACTAAGAAGTGATCAGATAGGGTATGATAGGTAAACTGACAGCATAGGCAGGGAAGAAAGAGTAAACCACCACCCAGAGACACATACACACACACACACACACACAAATTTTAAATGTATTGGATATGGGGGAAGTTAGGAGAGAAGTAAAGGAGTGGCTCTAGAGTGGCCCTGAATGCATCACTATATTACAATGTTGTATAATTGGTATTTATAATAATGGTAATTTGCATTTCTGTAATGAATGCTTAGGAAGCACTTTCAAATCCTTTTGATCCCTGTAATGACCCTAGATAATAATAACAATAGCTAGCATTTATGTAGCATTTTAAGGTTTGCAGAGTGCTTTGTAAATGTTATATTTGATTTTCACAACAACCCTCAAAAGTGCTATTACCATCCACCCTCTTACAGGTGAGGAAACTGAGACAAACAGAGGTTAAGTGACTTGCCCAGGGTCACACAGCTGCTAAGTGCCTGAGGAGGGATTTAAACTCGGGTCTTTCTGACTCCAGTTCCAGCATTCAATCCATTGGCTCTGCAATTTCCTCGGCATGGGTAAATGCCCAGTGAGAATTCCCTCCAACAGCAAATCTCAGTTATTTATAATTTAGTAAATAAGTACTACAATCTGTCTGAGGGATTGAGAGTTTCAGTGACTTACCTAGGGTCATAACACCTTGTAGGTATCAGAAGTGGTTTTTTTAACTCAAATTTTCCTAATCTGAGGAGCAGTACTCTAGTTACTGTACCATACTAGCTAGTATCATCTCCATTTTACAGATGAGGAAACAGATGTACAATTGTTATACTGATTCATTTGTTATTCATTTGGTGAATATTAAGCATTTACTATATGAGAACACTCAGGGACTGTGATTCATCAAGAGCAACCTATCTTTCCAACCTGTCCACTCCTTTACCACTCTGAATTTGTGATTCACCCTTGTTACAAAACCCTGTTTATTGAACCTTTTCCATTTTCCTATTACGTTGGCACTCTGGCTTCATTTGCCTCTCTCTATCCCTCCAGGAACCCCAGGTCAGCTATTTTACATGTCTTGTTACCAGACCTTTGAATCCCTCACTTCCTTGACTTTCTTCTCTACCTACTCCAACAAACCAGTGAAAATTCCTACCATCTATTTTCCCTGCTGCCACTCCCAAGCTGCTTCTTGTTTCAGGAAAAAGTAATTTAATTCCTATTGAATCCACTAAATAAATGTTCGAGCAATCTAAAAGCTATTTGGCAGTCTTTTTATGCATCTAAAAACAGTGGGTTGGGGATTAGGAGGCCTGGTTTTTGAGTCCTGACTCTGCCTCTTAATAGCTCTATAACCTTGAGCTACTGAGCTCTCTGGACCTCAGTTTTCTTATCTATAAAAAAGACAGTTGGACTAGAATGAAGACTTGTAGGCATTTTTGGTTCCACAGACCCCTCACGCAGTCTGTTGAGGCTTGTGGAGCCCTTCTCAGAATAATATTTTTAAATGCATAAAATAAATTACATAAGATTATAAAGCAAACTACTTAAAATTCAGACATAATTTCTTCCCATCCAGGTTCCTAGACCCCCTGAAATCTATCCTAGGACCAAGTTACAAACCAGACCAGCTGACCTCTAAGGTGCCTTCTGGTTCTAAAGTCTTAAGAGCCTATGACTTCTTGTCCTGTTCCACACTATGGCTATTCCAGACCTTATCTATTCTCCTTGAGTTCCCAGCTATTTAAGAACTATTACTGAAGTGGGGAAATGGGGGGAAAGGCACAGAAATTTAGAGGCCATTGTTTACAATTGTACTCCATCTTCCTAGAAACAATTGAGCGTATCACCTAGATAATTAGTTAAAATAGGAAGCTATGAAATCTACCTCCCAATACCAAGGTGATAGACTAATATTCAGAAACACATTTTTGAACATGGCCAACATGGGAATTTGTATTGCTTAACTGTGCATATTTGTAGTAGGTATTTAGTTTCTGTTCATTTATTTTTCAGGGGAGGGATAA